CTTCGGGCGGAGCCGAAGTTAATATACCCTTGCAGTTACAACCGGATATATATCGCAAAATCGAATATAGTTGGCCGATAATTATTTAGAATATCATAATATAACTGTTTGTAGGGGGTTGCTGGTTCCGCAAAAGACTCCAGAAATGGGGATGAAATGAAAAGTCGGGGGCGTCTTCAATAATTTACAAAAGAAGCGCGTTCAGCTTTATTGGCTGCGTACATCGAATTAAAACTTAACTTAGAAAAGAAACAAGGCAAAAGTAATAGAAAAAATACGATCGACGACGGCCGACGAAGGAGCGAGAGCGCAAAGAGGGGCGAGCGCGGATGCGCTCTTCAGCGCGGGTGCGCTCTTCAGGCTGGTGCGCTCTTCAGCGCGGGTGCGCTCTTAAAGTTGCGGCACAACGGCCCCTCACGTAAACATCCTCCCCCCCTTGCAATCGCTCGGGTTGCAACAGATCCCTCGTCGCTAGCTATGCGTCACTGCAGCTAAAGGGGCGTACACGGGTCGATGAAGGCCCCCGTGTCGAAGATCCGGGTCCCGGTGTTGTCGCTGTTCCGGTTCAGCAGCGACGATAGGGTGGGCGCGTCCTGCGAGGGCCCTTGAGGAGAGGCGGAAAATTGCCTAGGCGCGGATGACGCGGGCGGACGAGCGGTGGACGGCACCTTATGGGTGGCGGACGAATGCAGTGGAGCACTTGACGGCTGCCGGCCAGTGGCGGAAGAATGCCGAGGAGTTATCGAAGAGTGCCGGGAAGTCGGCGGCCGTGGATCGGTTTGGGGAATGCCGGAAAATGGCGGACGCAGGGCGAGAAGCACCCGAACCGCGCCGGGAGTTGGCGGATGACGGCCGACGAGAGAGCGAGACACCCCGTGTACTGTCTCCCGCGGGCGGTGACCGGTGCTCCTTGGTCACGGGGTGCAGCAGCGTGTGGTGATCCTGACCACACGTCTTACAGCCGTCCCCACGCCGACAGGATCCGTCGGAGTGCTCGTGGGCCAGGAAGCTCGAGCAATAGCGGTTCACGAGAACCGCTCGGAGCCGCTCCTCGGCACTAAGGCGTTGGAAGCGCCGACACTTCTTCAATGGATGGATCCCATTGCAGACTCCAGTGAGTCACCGAGGCTGCGGGCAACTCGTGCGGAAAAAACAGACACGCTGCGGGGGTTAGCTGGAGAGAATGGGCCTGTCAGCACCCATCCAAAAATGGTCTCCTGACCGAGAAGCGACCCGCAGATGTTAGCCTTGGAATTACCGAGGAGAATGGACGGAAGAATGTCAGCTCCTAATAACACATCGATTTGGGAGCTCTCAAAGAAGTTGGGGTCCGCCAGGGGAATGTCGGGGAGGCCCTTGAGAAGATCTCGCGAAAACGGATATGATGGCAGATTTCCTGCCAACTGCGGAAGAACGTAAGCCGCAGTCTCTAATTGTAGCCCGGGTCTAGACGGCGACCGAATGGAGAAATGGCACAATTTAGTAGACTGCGCGGAAATGGTCTGATTGAGGCCGGAAACTTGGGCTTGAATCGTCTTGAAGGGAGGCTTGACGAGGTTGAACAGTTGTTCCGTTATGAAAGTCGCTTCGGAGCCTGAGTCTATCAGTGCTCGTGCCTGGACGGTGCACCCCAAATGGCACACGTTGATAAGGGCCTTGCCCAGTAGGACGGCTCCTGACCCGGAAGCGAAACACACCTGCACATTCGACTGATCCTCTGAGCCGTTTGTTGACGTAGGCGGACTTGGAGCGGTAAGCTGCGTAGGCGGACTTGGAGCGGTTGCGAATGGATTGCCGCGCTGCAAGAAGGTGTGGTGTCTGCTGTGGCATGTGAAGCAGGTATGGGCGCTCGGGCAGTCTCGTTGCTGGTGGCCTCGGGCAAAACAGTGTAAACATAACTGCTTCCTCCTTATGTAGTCAGAGCGCCCATTTACATCCATTTCTAGGAAACGCGGACATAAGCGAATGGGGTGGTCCTCCCTCGAACAGAGATCGCAGCCCTTTTGGCCCGGAACCACTCGAGTCTCGTAGGAAGTGAGCCTCCTAGCAGGGGCAGAAGGAAGTCCCGACCTTGGCGGAAATTGCACGGAGGCACTAGGCCTGACGTCGTCGATGGCCTCCAGAGTGCGATGGCTCTCTGTCAGGAAGTTATCTAATTCCTTCCATGTTGGAATTTCGGCCTTGTTATGAACGGATTGCTCCCACATGGAAAGTGTGACTTTGGGGAGCTTTGACGAAATTATAAATACAAGGAGACAGTCCCAAGCCTCAACATTAACGGAGGACATTTCTAGGACTGTCAGACAACTCTGAATGGTAGCTTGCAGCTCTTTCAGCGCGACCCCGGACTCTTGAGAAATAGCCTGGATGTTGAAAAGGAATTTCAACTGGCTGTTGACCAATAGCCGCCGGTTCTCAAAGCGGTCTGTGAGGCTTTGCCATGCGGCGACAAATCCCTCATGGGTAAGCGGAGCCTTGGAAACAATGGCGTGGGCGTCACCACTTGTTTTGGACAGTAAGTGGAACAACCTCTCTACCGGGGTGAGCCGCGAGTTTTGGATGTAAATGGCCGTAAACAAGTCTCTGAAGGTGGGCCACCGAAGATAATCACCCGCGAAGACCTCGGTATCCACCGGAGGTAACCGGCAGCCTGTAGGCGCGGGCGTGTGGACATTGACGGGAGCCTGAGTGGATTGGGAGGCAATTTTCTCCCGAAGCTGGGCAATACATCTCGAATAGACGGACTAACAGTAGCTGTACTTCGCTTCCAGCACTGTCGAGGCGGCCGCATTGTCGTCGGACACGGCTAGCAAATCGGAGCAGCTCTCATAGCTCTTCTCCACCTTCTCCCATAGTGCCCGAATTTGGTCCCGATGAACTTCGCACATGATTTGGGAGCCTATTTCCGTTTCTGGGGCGCCCGGAGTACTTATGTTAGCCTCAAATTGGATAATTCGATCTGTTGTGGCGATGAACTTTTTCAACGCCACTTCTACCGCACTTGGAGCCATTTTTGCAACGGAGTGAGTCTGCCTCTGTGAAGGACCGGGGGTTGTATTGACGGATTCGTCACTCCTTGCCCTTGGACTGGCACTGGTAGCCTTAGGCTTCAAAAGCTGGGCAGAGATGCGGATTGAGATCTGTCCAAACGGATGGCTGGGATCGAACGCGACTTTTTGTCGTCTCCCGTGGGCATTCTCAGAGTCCAATTCGCTGGTCAGCGCTTGTCGACTGACTTGCGCAACAGGTGCCTCGTACGAAGTGGTGGCCGGTCGCACTAATGTGATGAGAACGGTGAGATCGCGGATGAAAGGCAATTAAAAGCAGCGAGTGCGAACTAGTGGCGCCAATGTGGAAAGGAAAGTCGTTTGCGGCACAATTCGAATGTGGAAAGAAAAACTTCAGGCACCAGAAAAAACCCAAAAGAAGACGAGGTTTGCTCGGATTGTAGGCGGATGTTGCCAGATGCGGAGTAGAAGCAGCGTTAGGAAAATGACGAAACGGAAAATGGACAAGGACCGGAAAATTCGTGATCGTTCGGAAAAATAATTGATGACTGTCTATATATGAATGTATATTTCGACCAGTATGGCTCGTACGTAAATATTTAATTCCTAACTATGTTCGAATTTGCGGAGCCGGAAAGGTGGACTTAACCTTTGCTTGGATTGAACACAGAGAAAAAAAATAAATAATTAATTTTCGCCTAATTGTCGGATTTAATTATTATGGAAACAGACGGGTGGAGTTGAAAATTTCAATTTTTAATCAATGGAGGTTAAGTAACCCGAAGCTGGAACGGTGGAATGGAAACCGCGGCTAGGTTCAGAAAGAAGATCGACAATTAAATTATTTAATTATAATTTTTTTCGATAATTAAATTTTCGACTTTAATTATTGAGTGGCCGGAAAGGTAAATTAAAAAAGCCTGGCTCTTTGCTCGGACGGAAAATACGAATTGAATAAATTTTTGTAGTTGTAATTATAAACTATTTTTTTTTTAATTTGTTTGGTTATATATTTCCTGAAATTGGAGGCAGAAAATATTGAGAAATATATGGGCATGCATGCAAGTAGGGCAAGGGCATGTGGGGCATATGATGGCACAGTGGAACGTCGATAAGTGGACTGAATAGGTTAAATTTTATCGGTTATATATTTCCTGAAATTGGAGGCAGAAAATATATGGACATGCATGCAGGTACGGATATATGTAAGGGCATGTGGGCATATGTTGGCACAATGGAGCTTTGATAAGTGGACTGTATAATTGGAGGAACAGAAAAGTTATGTGGTGTAAAAAATGACACTGATTGAGGAAGTTAAAAAACAAATATTACGACAGCGGCGGACTGTTCGGTGAATTTGGAAATTCCGGAACTAATTCACACCGGTGGCCAATTAAATTATGCCTTCTTTTTGTCACCACACAATTTCACTGTTCACTTGCGAATTTTTCGCGGATTAATTGCACCAAAAAAATATGTATGTGCGTATGTATGTACGCACATATGGATGCACATATGCCTCGACCGTTGGCAATCGAATGGATAACGGAGAGGCCGAAAACGGCGAGGAATATGGGAAGCACACAAAACGGAGACGGATGGAAAAAATTTTCAGAATATTAAGATTATTATAGATTATTAGAAAATCTCAACCTGCCGTTGTGTCGGAAAACTCGGACTTGGAGTTGACACGGAGGGAAAAACAATCTTGCAGCAGTGTGAACGAAATTTAATGTTCGGATCACTGCTGAAGACCGGCAGAGAGATGGAGACGGAAAAATTTACTTATCTTTGTTCATAAGTTTTGAGCTTTAACAACAAAAATAAGATAAATAAACTTTAATAGATATACTTCATGGGTTTAACCTAAGCCTGAACCCTATCCTTCACTATGTTAGTTTGATCAAATTTATAAAACCCACGAAATTAAAGGGCATAATAAAAATATTAATTTATTTCGGTAGTTTTATATTATCTTCAAGCAACTCATACCAAACGATTTTTTGATGCCGTATCAGTGGTCACAATTAATGGGTTCATCCAAGATTTAAGGCCGCTTATTTGCAGTTCCTGAGTCTTAATTGACAAATCATCGCCAAAAAGGGGCTTCACATCTATGTTTACCCATTCTCCCTGGCCCAATGGTATACTTTGGCGAAATTCAAACATCTTCATTTTGTGGGTACAATTTGCCGCTTTTCTTTCAGCACGGTGAATAGAAACAATAATATCTTTGTTCTGCTGATTTTTTATTTCTTCGATAAGTTCCGGCTTTTGTACCCATATCCAGTCCCATCCTCGTACATATATATGAAGAGTTGCGTAGGACAATTCAGAGTAGTCGTTTGCAATTTTAAATCGAAGCACTTCAATTTTAAGATTACTTTCAGTATAATGATGAATTTCTAAAATAGAAAACAGCGAATAAAAAATTAATATATAGTTACACATAATTTAATTATAATAAAAAAGAAAAGCTTACTTCGGGCGGAGTTAAAGTTGATACACCCTTGCAGTTAAAACAGGATTAATATCGGTAACATCCGATATAGTTGGTCGATCCTTATCAGAATATCATAATATAACCAATTTATTACAATAAACAAGAAAAAAAGGTAACTTCGGGCGGATACGAAGTTGATATACACTTGCAGTTAAAATCGGATATAATTGGTCGATCCTTATGAGAATATCCCACATAATTTAACCACTTTATTACAATAAAAAATAAAAAAAAATAAACCACCAAGCTTTTATCTTCAAAGACAGTAAAGTTGGTATTTTTACCAAATACCATTTCCGAAGTCGGATCAACTGACTAAAAATGGAATCTGTACTAAGTTCCAACTTTCTATCTTCAAAAACACGAAATTTGGGTCATTTCCGATCGTTCAGTTATGGCCGATCCCGGCCGTTCCGACTTATATTATGCGTGCAAAGAAAAAAAGGGTGTGTGCACTGCTACAAGCCGATAGCTTTAAAACTGAGGACAGACGGACATGATCATATCAACTCAGGAGGTGATCCTGATCAAGAATATGTATACTTTATGGGGTCGGAGACGTCTCCTTCACTTCGTTACACACTTTTAGACAAAATACCCTCTGCAAGGGTATAAAAAAGTTTGAAGATTCTATCTTCAAAACATCAAAGTTGGTTTTATTCTGATCGTTTAGGTATATGGCAGCTATAAGAATCGGTACAAAGTCCCAAACTTCCAACTTTAAAATGTACTATTTGGCTCTTTTTAGTTCAGTTAATAATAAGTAATAATTTTGATGAAAAGGCAGTTATCCTAAACAAGTAAATAGGGTCGAGGATTTCTCCTCCAATGCGTTACTCATACATGGCCAAAACTATAATACCCTTTGAAAAGGCATTAAAATATCAAATAACAAGAACTTCAAATGATGATGAAAGATGATAATAGATATTAATTTCGATTATTGCAGGTAATACCAGATTTTATGGGACTTTAATATTTTTAAGTTTTAGAAAATGGTACGAAATTTATCATCCCAAAAATTTGATTTTTTGATTAACAATATACTACAATATACAATATACTATAGTACAACAGATATAGTGAAAAATCCCTGTTTCGGGTGAAAAATAAGTTCAAATTACTTTAAAACTTTCATAACCAAAATATAGCTACGGAACTTCAGGTAATTAAATGGTACCCAATAATCACCTTCAAGTCGCCAGAATGTTAAATTAAATTTGTCGGATTAATAACGGTAAAAAATAAGGATGTGGTCGGCCGACCCCTATACAATTTGTCAGATCCGATAAGTCAACATGAGTATAAAATTTTAAACTTAAAATTGTATAAGTATGTACCAATGTTATAGCTGTTCCAATCAATCAGTTATGTATGTGGCAAAGAATATCAGTAGGGAGTAAATAATCGTCTGATTTCATATCCGTGTCGAAAACGGCGTCATATCCGTGTATGCATGTATATCCATATGGCAAAATAATCGTCTGATTTCATATCCGTGTCGAAAACGGTGTCATATCCGTGTATGGATTTCCACCATATGCATGTATATATGGATATACATGCATACATGCATATGGTGGAAATCCATAATTAAATATACTATACATTCATACATATATACCATATTCCCATACAAAAAATACATACTGACCTTTCACCCGACCTTGTCATAAATATGTCACCTGCAAGAAAATGATTAAAAGGGATCGAGCAGGTCAATTGTTTTTTTTTTTTTTAACCTTCAGGGCGGATTTTTTCTTCGAAAATGTTTTCATATGATATACAAAATCATAAAAAAAAAAAAATGAAAAAATTTAAAAAAATATGTAAAATTTTTTATTTATTTTTTCTTCTTCTCTTTCTTAAGAATTTCTTTTCTTTAATTATTCTTTATTTATTTATTTATTTTTATTCTTTTTTTATATTATAAACAAAATTTGTAAATATGTAAGTATGTAATTACACCCTTTCAGAGGGTTATACAATTTTGGTCAAAAGTGTGCAACGCTGTGAAGGAGACATCTCCGACCCCATAAAGTATATATATTCTTGATCATGATCACCTCCTGAGTTTATACAGGGTGTGCCATCTAGACAGGACCTGATGAAATGTTGAATAAGTCACCCAGAATACAGAATATAATTCACCCGCTGGCGTCGTTACTTCTTCCACTTCACAAGTTTCTATTTATCACTCCGATTGCTCTCTGCTGCGCTTCCAACAACAAGCGGCGCCGGCGTCAATGGTAACGCTTGACGCTTTCCTTGCTGAATGATAAGCTCCAACAATAACCACTTTTTATACCCTTGCAGAGGGCATTATAATTTTGGTCAAAAGTGTGCAACGCAGTGAAGGAGACATCTCGGACCCTATAAAGTATATATATTCTTGATCAGGATCACCTCCTGATTTGATATGAGCATGTCCGTCTGTCTGTCCGTCTGTCTGTTTCTACGCAAACTAGTCTCTCAGTTTTAAAGCTATCGTCTTGAAACTTTGCACACACCCTTCTATCCGTTACATGCAGTATATAAGTCGGAACGGCCCGGATCGGCCGACCATATCCTATAGCTGCCATATCGGAAATGGTTTTTGGTAGAAATACCAACTTTGGTATTTTTGAAGAATGAAGCTTGGGACTCTTTTAGATTTTGTATTATAACAAATTGGGTTATATTATCATATTCTCATAAGGATCGGCCAACTTTATCCGGTGTTTGCGATATATATCCGGTTTTAACTGGAAGGGGTAATGATAACCTCGGCTCCGCCCGAAGTTAGCTTTCGTTTCTTGTTTTTTTTCAAGTCGAGTTGTTTCCATCTTCTCTTCACTTTGTGATGCCCAGCAACAATAAGAGGATGCGACTCGAGTCTTTGGCAGCGCATCGCTGCTCATATTCTTATCTCTTTTCGTTTGGCCACCAGATGTTGCTTATTTACATCTCATTGTTTTATTGCTTAGAAGATATTTATTTACCTTTGGGACGAGAGTGTGGATCACAGCTGCGCCTGAATGTTCTTGATTATGATTTCTGTATGTTTTGTTTACATGGCACTGCATTTTCCTTGGAACTGGATACTCGCACGTCTACTGTTGAGTCTAGTGGAAGATTTTATGAGTCCTCGACGACTATCTTGCAAGCTATGCGTATTGGATATGCCTCAAAATGCACCAGTATCAGGAGTCTACTTTTATCATTATCGCCTAGCTGCCCAGTGTGAACCGTGGCTATAAATCGTCCTCGCACTCCAATAAAAGCATGAAAGTTCTATTTCAAAATATATCGGGAATGAGGACTAAGTCCCAGATGGTATTCCTGAATTTTTCTGACTGTGATGTTATCCTTGTGAAAACAAGGGCCCTTTTCCGCCTACTCTTGTTACTCCACCAAAGTGGAGGATGGAACTCCCTAAAAAAGTCCGGAAATGGGGTCATTGACTCGTCAAACTCCAAGGCCCTCAAAAGCCAAGGAGTTGCTGAGATGGAGAAGCCTTCCACAGAGAGGCATCATTTGAAGGCGGAACGTGCCGGTGGAAGAGGATGCCAAGGCATCTTCTTCAAAAGCGGGGCTAGCTATGGGGCTACCAAACGGCGTGGAGAGGAAGAACACAGGGTCCACCTCTAAACCAACCGGCGGGGCCCCTAAGGCGAACCCTTTTCCGGGAGCGTCTTATTCGACGCAGCGGAAGGGCTCTTATAAAGAGAGGAGGAGAGCAGCCTTCATTTTAATGAGGGCGGACCCAGCCGAAGCCAACCAGGACCAGGCCGAGATTATTAGGTTTGCAAGGGAGGTCCTGCCCGACTTCAAACTGGAAAAGGCGGGTGTGAGGCTAAAGCCAAAAAAACTCGCTGGGTCAGATCCTGCCAAGGAGATCGCGCAAAGCGCGAAAAGGAAGATTTCTAAGGAGGGAGGAGCCTAACATGCCAAAAAAAGGAAAGCCCAGCCGCAGACGAAGGAAAAAACCCTTATTGGACGACCTTTGGCGACGAGTGGTTAACGAGTTGCATGGGTGCTTCGTGGAGGAGATGCTACAGAGCGGAGGACCCCCACCAGAATGTGAAGACGCAGGATGGTATCAAGGTAGTGTCAAGGTAATTGCCTTCCAAGACGCGCGATCTGTAGAAACCTACAAGCGAATGGTAGCATCGCTTGGAGAGATCTACCCCAGGGCAAAGCTGGTGGCGGTCGACTGGGAAGAGATCCCAAGTAAACCAAGGGCGCGAGTATGGCTCACCGAAAAGCCAGCCGACCCTAAAACTATCCTGACGATGCATAGGATGTGCAATCCGACGCTTCCCACGGCGGACTGGAGAGTCGCCAAGGTCGAGGAGGTGGTAGGACTGCGGAGGCAGGTCGTCCTCACGCTCAACGAGGAGACCGTGAAAGCCCTGGAAAGGTCCAAAAAGCGGATTAAGTACGGATTCGAGCATGTGATGGTCCTTATCAACAAATCTGATGGGAAGAGCAAACCAGGAGGTTTAGACCTGGAGGCAGATGCGCAAGAGCCAGACTTGGAGGAGCCGACCAGAGAGGGGCATCCGAAAGGAATGTCAGATGAGGAGCAGGGTATCCTGGAAGGGTACACCTCAGAGGAGAGCGACTTAGCAAGGGCACTTAAAGACGTCGAAATGGAGGAGGATTCTCTGATGAGCTCCGAGACGGAGGCAGAAGTTACTGTGGTGGAGAATTGTAAGAATGTCCCTGACAATCTTGCAGATAAACCTCCGCCACAGTAAAGCGGCGTCAGCTGCCCTCCTACTCCACCTTGCCGAGAGTGGAGCTGATGTGGCCCTCATTCAGGAACCCTGGAACCTTGGTGACAGGATTTTTGGGTTGGAGGCGTCGAAGTATAGGATCTGCAAAGCCGATACAACAAGTAAAAGGCCAGCCTGCATC